AGTTCCAATTTGCAGATAATGATAATTTCAGAATAAATAAAAATACATTAAAACGTACACATTCATAGAAAATATTTCTATGAAAATCAGGAGAATTTGCAATACAATTTAAAGTGATTGCTATAGTGGTTGAATTGAGATTGACTCTTATTTGCTCCTTGCTTACCTGTGGCCGAAACAGAGATGCCAATGAGGTACCACAATATTACCAATCTCCTGGTGTTACCACATGTTTGGCTATAATACTGGCTGATTCCGAAAGATGCCATAACAAAACTCAAAATTCGTTGATAGTGTAACAACAGTCTTTTTTGTTATTTTGGGTCCTGGAATAGTCTATTTTGTCCAAATAACATAGCAAATTATAAACAATTAAGATTTACCGGTCATGGATCAAATATTATGAAACAACAAGGGTCTTTGGACTTGGTCTAATCAGAATACTCGACATTGTTCTAATTTCTCAGGTTCTCATATTTAATTTTAGGCAAAGTCTTCTAAATTATGTTTAAATTCTATTGTGTCGAGCTATTATCCGTCGTAGCTATTCGTCTCCGTGCTACGATATGAGAAATATCTGAAAGCGTTCCTCCCGTAGCACGGGCGGCGTGCCCGTGTCAGTCTCGCAGCGATAACGCTGTCGCCGCCTTTGATGTTTTGTTGTCTTTGTAGTGACGCCGCGCTGTTCTTTCTGTTGTGCCGGTCGTTATACGAAAACACGCATAACTCGCAAAATCTGATTTGGCTCAGTCAGTCAGTAAGAATTCTGACGAATAAGAGATAAGTATGCAATCATACTTACATGTTGATTTTAATTTCAGTTTTTGGCATAGGGACCATGCTGTCGAAACCAAATGAATCATCATTGTAACACATAACACGTATCAAGCAACTATCGAATTATGTTCAGTAAAATTTCCATTTAACTCCGAATTATAGAAATATGTTTTTTTATTATTTTTTTTAAATTTGTCATCTGTCCATTTTTACCAAGATATGTAGTTGTATTTATAATAAAAATGCAATAAAACTGTCAGACTTACTACTTTACCATAATATAATAAAAACCGAAGGCAGATTCAAACAGTATCAAAAAAACTAAAATATAAATTATAAAAATATTAATAATCATAATTAAAATAATAAAATATTTAAAGGTTTTTTTAATCCGTTCGTGTTATTCGACGTTCTACTTATTTATTAAAATTCATCATAATAAAATTTACAAAGATAGTATACACATCGGTCCACTAGCCATATCTCAAAAACCAGTAATGTTAAGAATTTAGTTTAAGTGAGCACAGAATGCACGTGCAAATCTTATAAATTTTTCCATGTAGCTTAAGTAATATACGCATCCCTTTTTATATTTTTATTACTAATGTATCCTTACTATAAACCCATCTACCGTTCTAAGAAATTATACCAAATTGTGGGATTATAGAAAAATCCCAAATTTTATAGCTGTTTAGTATATTTTTGAACCCCCTCTCCAGGCAGTTTTAATAATTTTTATATTATATTTTTAAGTTTATAAATTCTGTATTCAGTTAGTCGCGATACTGGACACATCAATCTTAGCACGTAAAAATTACTCATATATTAATTAATGTTATTAAATCTTTTTAAGAAATAATGTAATTGATACATGTTGATCGGTGTTTAGACATCAACCATTAATTACAGATCACGCAAGTGTTTTTAAAAGTGTAGTAAATATAAGTAAATATATTGGGAATACATCGGGAACATGAGTAAGGTGTACCACGCCTGTACAAGTACAGTTCAGAATTTTTTGCCAACATTATTTGAAAGTAGAGGGAAAATGATGTATAACCAGCTATTATTTTGATTCTCACGATGTTACGATGTCACGATGCTATCAAGAGATATACGGCAATTTTTAAAAATCTATAATAAAAGTATTTTCTTTCGTTAGTTTTTTTTTATTGTGAGCGTAGATGTATATTTTACGAGAACTTAATATCATTTTTAATCCTACGTTATTCTAATGTTTTATAAAATATATTGTTATTTTCAAGTTAGATTCAATAGTTTTTTTTTTATATGAACTCTATAGCTCTATAAAAGCTTGCATGTGGGTGGGGTAAAAAGAACTATGGTTGCTTTTACCTTGGCTTGGTAAACAATAAAAAATAGTAAATAAGAAAGTAAATTAAATTAAAGAAAGCAATTTTATAAGAGATAAATCAAATTGATAGTAATTCCAATTCTACTTATAAATCTTTCTGACGATGTACCAGATCAAGATTATATACAGTGTTATCTCTCTAAGAAATGTATGCATGAAATATATATTTTGCATTGGTTAAATAATGTAAATATTATTTTGTAAAATCTCTTTAAAATTAAAAATAAGTCATCGGACTTCTCTTCTCCATGACCATCCATGACACCGCCTATGGGGTTAAAAGAACCCGTGTAACATTTGATTAAAATGTGGCAAATTTTTGAAAAACAGCAAAAAAAAATTTCTATGATGAATAGGTTGTGAAGTTTTGTGAACACAGTCGGATAGTTATTTGTTTGATATGTGTTATAAGATATGATATGTGTTATAAGATATGATATGTGTTATAGATATAAGTGAAGAAGTTTGAATGAAATGTATAGTTATGTAAATGTATAGTTTGTAAGATATGACCATATTTTTTATTTGTATTAATTATACTTTACGTTGATTTATGACAAAAGCTTCTGTTTCAAGAGACGCCATTTATTTTATTTGTATTAATTATAAATTGCATTGATTTATCACAAGAACTACATTAGAAACATGTATTTTTTTTTTCAAATAAGCATAGAATAAACTGCCATAGGTATCATTGTCGTTTTTTGTCGTTGCTACTAGCCCCAGTAGAAATTACAACTAGCCCAAAACACGAGGTAAAATTGAACACCTCACGTTTTGGAGAAAATGGTTAATTGAAAAATAATGAAAAATAATTATGGAATTCGATCTTTACTTTATAGAAATATAGCCAGTGGATCAGACCAGACATTAGTTTTGAAAAAAAACTGTTACAGCAAGCCCCAGCTCCCCTATATGTGTCATTTTCTATTAAGGTGTTATTTCAAGCAATGATTTCAAATAAAAGTTATTTAAATAATTTGTGTATGATTTTTGAAGCAATCATATTTCTTGTAAATGAATATAAATCAATTTTTTATGTAAAATGAAATTAAACGATAGTCTGAGACAGTAAAAACGATAATATTTTGTTTTGAAATTTTAATAGATCTTTCAATCAACGTCAAGAATCTTGTTGAATGTGAGTCTCTAAGTTTAATTACATTTTTATCCCAAAAATTAGATATTCATAAACCATGTCAGACGTAGAACAGAAACTTTTAGTTTGTATCGTCCAAAGTCTAGTCAGCTGCGCTTTGTTTGTTCCTTATCAAGGAGCTCGACGTTATGAAATTGCGAATTTATGATCAAAATTATTTATTCATAATATGAAAGTCTGCTTCGCTCTTGCAATATCAACGAGTTTTCTATTAGAAGTAAATGAGACGTAGAGACGTAGAAGCGTAGGCGTCACTCCAGACTTCTTTCTTTCGGAAAGTGTGGGATTTTTTTCTGTCAAAGATATCAAAGTAACTTTTCATTTATCCCATTCCTTCGAAACGATAATACGTCGTAGTTTTAACTGACTTGGCTAACAATGGCAAATATTCAATATTCAACCCGACTATTCGCATAGGGTTGTCAATTAATAAAGCAGTAAAACAAGACTTCTATTGCATATTTCTATAACTTAAAATGAGATAACGATATAGATAAACTAGGTGTTAGGCGAATAATGCATGCTGCAATAAACATAGAATTTCAGCAACTTCAGATTTGTTTGAAATTTTGATGCTGCTAATAATTTCGAACTTCAGTAAATTTTAATAATCAAACCATGTTTTGCAGATATCTAATTTTAACACAGGGTTTCTACCAAAAACTAATCATCACGATTTCCAATTGATAACCTTTTGAATTTTCAAAATCAGTTTAAATTTTTTTGTGAAACTGTGGACAACATTTTGCACTTTTCTGCTAATTTAACCTGAGTTCTGAACTGGCATTAATGAATGACTTCTGAATTTCTGAAAATGTGAAACCGTGTTTGAGAAATTTTCGACCAAAGCCAAATTTTGACTCTTGTACACACACCAATTTTTTGCCAAAATTGATCTCAAACGATTGGGAATAATTTTAAATTTTTAGAGTCGGATTTTTGGCGAAAACTAACTTCTATTTCGAGAAATTAATTGTATGGTTTGTTATTTATGAATCTTCATGATTAATTTTTTGCTTTAATACATTTTGTATAAACTATCTTTCAAAATTGCTTCATAATTGTAAAGCAAATTGTTATTTTGATGACAGACATGGTTTAAGCACATTGGCGCGATGGTTGGTAATTTCCAAAATTTGTTATAAAGCTAGAAAGATACTAAAAGTCCCATCTATAAGATTTGAATCAATTAATTTTATGTTCGACATCCGCCTTGGACAGTCTCATGTCAAGTAGTAGTAACATTGGTTTTTAGTTGTAAATATAGATAGCAATGTATGTAATTCCAAATGAGAAAAGGTCTTTCTTGGTATTGCTGCACCACGAAAAAATCATCAGAAATATCTCAGAAATTATAGCAATATATTCATTACATAGAAATAGGAAGAACGGTGTACTAGCCACGTTATTAAAAGAAGCTTTCAAAATATATAATATAACTCCTTTAGTTCTGATTGTAGTTTAATATATATGAAAAATCAGTCAGTAGGATTTGTTTCGCGCAATATATGCACATGATCCATAAATTGGAGGTCGAACTACAAAAAGGGGAGTAAAATAGAAAAATACGACAAAGTCTGCGATCTAAGGGTATAATAAGAAAAAATAGCGAAAAATGATAAACACAAAATCTCCTAACAAGTAATTTTTCTGCACGATAATTAACATTTTATTATTTCTGTTGCTTACCTTAAATGAGTATAATCCATTAATCCAAGCATATTTACTCCCCATTGCTTCTGGGTAAACTGCAAACACGTTTGCAATTGAATACCTGAAAATATTAAATCATTTACGTGAAACTTAATAGTAAAGGTAAATTTGGGTAAGAAACAAAGGAAAGAAAATTATAAGATTTTAATCATAACGCAGGCGAACTACTAGTTAAGAGATTTTGTGTTTTTCAAACTACTTGGAAAACACATGTCGCACACCCAATACAGACAACTTTTGTTGCGAACCTGTGTGAATAATGTTCGAAAGTTTTACTAATTAGAATGATACAACCTGCAACAATTGCAACCAACGATATTTTATGCTGATATAAATATTTCAAAATTACTTGGCTTTGATTATAGCGATTAAATTCTCTTACTAAACCCTGATGATTATGAGATGTGCGACGTGCAAAAGGATACTATGCACCGCAAGCCTTTTAAGCAAACGACAGAATGATTATATACTTGTATATGTATATATATATATATATATATATATATATCTACCAGGAAGCAAAGATAATGTTTTACCAGAATAGACATAACCGAATATATTTATACAATGGAATAATGAGCAATTATGAGGAACGCTCCAAGAGGCAGTTCATTAACAGAAATAAGCTTTAAACCGGCGAAACTTAGCAACCAACAGGCAATGCATAATATAAAGAGAATTTGAGAAATTATCAAAAGGATCGAGTGTTTATTGTTCATTGTGATGCGATGCTTTGTGACAAAAACGTAAACGTCGGGTGTATTCTTTTTATCTGGATTATTTTTCTGAAGGGACCTTTATGTTACGAATGAATATTCATTTCGCCTCGAGTAGTAGTGGAAAATCGAATCGCTCAAGTACTCAGAACAGAACAGAAACACTGCAGATCAAGCACACAAAATGACACTAAACCATATTGTTGCTTACATAAACTTATATTATGTAATTGGTTGTAAATAATAATGGACTAGTATTGCCCTATAGGGCAGGTCCAAGAGCTGAGTTAAATTTTAATTAACTCGATTTGCTTAAATTTTTTGTGGGTGTTTTGAATTATTTAAATAGTTATTTTGATTATTGTAAAAAATCATACCTAAATCTAGTTGAAACAAAACCTTAGGGCTAATTGTAACATACAATAATTATATAGAGATACAAGTGAAAGTAATTGTTTGAAATGAGAAGAATTTCTATATCAGGACCGACTGTACATTGTAACGGAGATGCACGCAATAATTATAAATAACATTATCAACCACTATGATGGTCAGAGTACAAACTACGCAGAATGTTTGGTTACTCATTGCTACAACATTGTGATTTCAAAATATCCTTGACAAACCCAGCAGTTGTTGATAACATTTTTTTGCAAGCCACAAAATACGCAACAATAACGTACTTATCTATTGCGTAGGGCTCGCCCGTAGGTAAGCGGTTAAAGAGCGTCGCGACTTATGGCAGAGAACCCCGGTTCGATACCCACTTCGAGAAAATTTAAGTAACTTTCAATGAAAAAAATATGTTTTCACCGAAAACTCCGATTTGATAATAAACATCATTCTGACTCGTTTGAGACCAAAATTGAGAAAAGAGCGTATAACAGCTTTAATTCATATTATATTCTTTTTTGATACTGCTCCTAGTTTCATATATGGGACTCAAAAATTGCATAACGGATATTTAAAAGACTTTTTTACCATAAGAAGAATCTCAAGATCTGCAAGCCTTAGTTATTGTATTAGATAATACTAATATTAGACTTAATATTGTTTTATATTTGAATTTTACTATAATTAATTCAATTAAAATAATTTATATTCTGTACTTACTAAATTTAATACGAAGTTTTCTGATAAATTTTCAAAAATTTAAAGGTCATTCAATGTATCTCGATAGGGGCTTGTATTAATTAGTTTCCAGAGACAATCGGCCCAGTCCTTTCTTTGTAATTTGTACTTTGAACAGATTTGTCTGCTATAATAACTTTTTTATCATTATGGTTAATATGGTCTTAAAGAACATACTAAAATATTATAGGTTACGCTAGTAGTTTTTATGAGAAAATCAACATTCATCAAAACAAGTTTCAGGGATACACAGACGCTTCGAATAATAATGGTGAGCTAGAGGCTATTTTTACCAGATGTAAGTAATAACAGGCACTTTCAATAGAATCTTTAACGATATATTTTTTTTACTACTTTGGACATATGAATCGTGCTGCATAATATTATCATAACTATTATCCTGCAGGTCAATGCAATAAACAGAAGTGTGCAGATCTGTCATTTTAGATAATTAATATACAATTGTATTATTATCGACTAACTTAAAATTTTATATATCTTGATTTGCTTCAAATTTATCAATCCCTTCTAATGTAGAACAATTTTCGTGACTGCTGAACTGATTAAATCTGGGGTTAGTTGAAACAAAACCTTAGGACTAGTTGTAACATACAGAAATTATATACAGATACAAGTGAAGATTGATTGGGTGGAAAACTTAGTTTATAAGATATGGGAATATGTAAATTATACTATAGGAGGCTAAATCTTCTATTTGTATTCATTGTAGTTTACGTCTTAAGTGTATTTATCAAAGTTTACGTTCAATTTTGAAAAGAGTTGCTTAACTACATGCAAAATTTCTAAAAATTAAGCAAAAAGTAAATTATCACTTGCACACCTGTAGATGTCACAACTATCCCCTAGTACATGAGTGAAAATCCAAATTTTTTCTAAAAAATAATGAATTGTGAAATAATGAACAGCGAGTACAAAATTATTTTTATTGGATTCGGTAGGGGAATAAATATAGCATCTATCGATCTTTAATTTGTAGAAATATAATCTGTGGAATTCAAGATATATTAATTAATTAAAAAGGATGCTATAATCTTTTAGCTTCCTACTCTTATTAGTAATGTTATATTGGAAACGTCTCTGTATCTTCTAATCTGATAACTTGGTTATTTTGAAACAAACTACTAGATTTTGATCTAAAAAAAAGTAGGAGTATACGACCAAATTTCTTTTTACTGCTAAAATTTTTGTTTGCATTGTACTTTTATCAACTGTACATTTTGTAAATTTTACAACTTGTACATTTATCTTAAAAAAATATTATTTCTATCATTTCCTGCTTCTGAACACCAAAGAGTACACAGTCCCTCTTCAAAGATGTTGATCATATTACGGCCGTTTTGAAAACAAGATTATAATAAAATACGATTTTTCCTTTATGAGATTTATGAATTGAATACGTATGTCGCTACTTGGAAGGCGCACTGACTCGAGAAGTCAAAAGTTTTCATATTAAATTATATCCCTGAGCCGAACTATATTATTACTGGCTGGCAGAGGCATTGCTTATTATCGCTCACTGTGGATTTTCCACTTCGCTATGAATAATGGTCGTTCGATGTTCGTCCCGCGTGCACCGCGCGACTTCTCATTGATTTCGAACTTTTGCCTTGTATTGTGTCGCGTTCAACTTTGACTGGCTTTATGAAAATATACCAACTCCGAAATTATTACTTGCTATCGTATTTATACTTGATTTTTTAAGTAAAATTATATAGTCGTAAATGAGTTTCCAAAACAGTATTATTATTATTATTATTATTATTATTATTGGTGTTTTTCATAAAAACAGTTCCATGGCACAAGAGTACACACTTTATTTACCTATCATCCCATATTTACCTATCATTGCTTACTAGTCACTTTTGATATCTCAAGCTTCTATGCTTTTGTTTCCTGTATTTTATTATTTAATTTGGTGTATTTTCTTTCTTTGCGAAAGTCATCCCACATATTAAGATTTTTTAGTTGGTCTGGCATTTTTGAAGATTCGAGGCAAAAAGTGACAAAAATGTCAATTCAGTTTGTGAGATAACGGAGATTTCGATTCCGATTTGAATTATTCAAAAAACATTTCATTCGTATTGAAGAAATGATGAATTGATGAAGTTTTGGGGAAGGCAGGTCTAGCGGTTTTAAAAATCTATCAAAAAACTAAGAATATGCCATTGGGGCGTCAAAAATTATTATTGGACTATGGCACATCAGGTTAATAGATATTTATTAGGGTAGAACAAATTTTGTTCACATTTTTATCCGTTAGACTACGACACGGCGCTTACGCGTTTTGAGCCCGATTGCCTTGAAAAAAAGTTCACCATTTTCAAACGTTTTCAAATTATTTGTAATACTAGTTCTCGGTTTTCATGTTATAATTTTTATAGAGCAAATTGTCCTGTTTTTCGTGGAATATTAAGTAAGTATAATCAAACATACAAATTTTAATCGTTATTCAAAATAATTTGAATTTCTGCCGAGTTTCTCATTTTTTGTTTCGTTTGCCAATAAATTTTCTATCACTTTAATTGAAATCAGTTCTAAAATTCTCATTCAATTTTTCATCAATTACATAATGCGTTGTATTTTCAAAATGTTAGATAATATAAATAGTTGGATAGTAATTTCTAATTTGATTCTATTTTGATTTATATAATATACCTGATGAAAGAGTTATATAGTTTTACATGAATTATTTAGAATTATACAAAATACAAAACATGAAAAGTATAGAATTTTTTTCACAATACTATTTTAAAGTAGTTGGCAAAATATGTGTAACCTGCCATCATCTTAATTCATACGAGGTAGGAGACAAATGGCCATGTATAGACATTCACAATTAAAGTATTTTGTTTCGTTTGTAGTTTTTTAAATTAATAAGAATAATTCTAATATTTACGTCCAATTTGCCAGTTTCTTAAATATAGTGAGATAAAAAGGACCAACTTTACACTGGCAAAGGGTAAACTATTAGAAAAAAATTAAGTTCACAAGAGATAAATTAAATAAAGTTATTTCAATTTTGGTGATGAATATCTTTGATGAAATACCACATCAAGGTTATATACGTTGAAGTTTTATGGAAAATGGGCCCATTAAAATTTTATTTCGCTTTGGTTAAATAATTTAGCTGTTATTTTGTAGAATCTCATCAAAATTAAAACAAAGATATTTTATCTGTTTGCCCGATAGTAAC